AAGATGTTCTAAATCGAACTAAACATTAAACTAATTTCAATGGTACAGTATTTTTTTAAAGTAGTGGTACCCCAAACTTTCGCAGCTCTTATAAATTCCCCCTTTTCACACCATCAATAGGTAAACTCCCCCCTCCCCCCCCCCCGCGCCAAACTGCGAGTCCACCGGCATGTACACCACCTCTTTCCTAAAATCCGCCAATCAAATGCTAATTTTTATGCTAATTTCTTTGTCAGAACACCTTGTTTGCTCGCACACAGGTCCGATGTCTGAGCGTGGTTGTGTTTCGCTAAATTCTCCTGTTTGATGAGTACTAGGTGCCTCGGTGAATGTATATGCTCTAACTTTAACATAGCTATTTCTGTGACCAGTTACAAGCTAATCACTCAGCTATTTCAATGCTAAATTCGATGCTAATTCCTTTGTCAAGGGGTACCTCTGCGGATGTGTATACTTTAACTTAGCTATTTCAATGAGCCATTTCAATGCTAAATTATATGCTAATTCCTTTGTCAAGGCACTTGGCCTTTTTCTTCTCACACAGCTTAAAGGTCGTGATCTAAGCGTGGCTTCTTCCACTCCAGCGCTGTCCTCCAGACAGTCTCGTCCCTTCACCTGATGAAGGCCGCTTGTGTTGTGGCCGAAACGTCGTGATTTTTTGTTATTTTATTTTCACCTACGTGACTTTACCCAATAGAACCAAAGAGTATAGGTTCGTATTATCGATCGGAATAATACATTTGTTCTCGCTTTAACATTTACTGATTATGCATGAGTGTTTTATGTCAGGTCTCCAAATTCAAATCTCACCGCAGGATACAGTTCTTATAATTAAGATTATTACGCATGAATTCAGGAAAGAAACACTCAAACACTTCTGTGTTAAGCAATTTTAATTTCTAAACAAAACCTTAACACTCTAATATGCGAACTCTTATGCTTGGAATTTTCAACACAGTACTCCTGGAGATGTTCCCCTGATTGATCCATGCATTTAACCTTCAATGATCACGTTTGTTAACTGGGTAACAGAACAATCGATTATTCCTCCGAGTACGCGAGCATACACGGCGATAGGAACAAAAAGTCCTTCAAAATTCATGCAACGATATTCATACGAAGGCAATAAAGAAACATGTCCCAAAAGCAAGAGTAGTTATCAATGAATTCATTGGCAAGATTATGCAATTAACGAAAACGGATGAGTAACATACTTCTAAACAATCGTACTCCTGTAACTTGACGGGCAGCAATGCTTTTCACGATCAGCTGATATTTAACGCACCACCGTGGAATGGCAACCCTTCTTGAAACACAAAGATAACTTTTTGGAACAATCTTATTTGTCCCGATATGCGTGTCGTGCGTTTTCTTTGCCACTTGTTCAATTCTTTGCGTAAAGCAGACACCGAGGTTGGGCATCCCTTGTATCAAAAATGTGTTTGTTCCCTGCGGAGCGGTGGCGGTGTGAGGGTGTGAGTGTATCATACGGACAGCTTGGCACTCCCTCTTTCACACGGGCGGCCACAGTTTCTGTCCACAGCTGGCTGGAAGAGTCGGCACGACGCTCGCCGTCGGCGCGCGATGATCCGTCGTCAGATAGCGCCCGCAGCTCGTCCACTCGCCGCAGTTCCTCACTCTTGTCTTGGTTCCCAGCCGGTGCCGGTCGGCGCGCGCGTGGGTCGTACCCACGGCGCGCTCGCTGGCGCCGACACTCTCGCTCACGGGCAGCTGGTCAGGCTCTTTCCCCTGCTGGATGAGCCGAGTCGGCACAACGCTTGTCCGCTGGCAGTTGTCACCTTTCGCTTGGTGGCGCTGCTGCGCGCTCTCTCTTGCTCCGTCTCTCTCTGGCGGTGCCGGTTGCGCGTGCAGCTGGTTTTCTGCAATGCTGGCTTGGTCTATGCTTGGCCCTCTCCGCCCTTTATCGAGGTTGATTGCTTGACGCTGAGAATAACTTTCAGCGATGCTCTGTCGGTCCATGCCGAACTCAGCACAGAGCATCACCTCGCCCCTCTTCTCTGCGACGCACCACATGCGTTGTTGTTGATCTCGAGGCCATGCCCCAGAGCTGGCTTGCTGTCCCCTTCCGAGCTGTCCCTTGCCGAGCTGATGGTCGCCGTCTTCTGTCGCCGGTAGCTGTGATTGTGTGGTTCTGTCTCTCTTTTTTATGCCGAAATTTCTTCCTCTGGCTCGCCTTCTCACAAAGGATCTCGCTCTGTGTTGCGGGGGGGGTGGGGGGGGGTTGTACGTGTGTCCGTGTGTGTGTGTGTATCATATTTATTGAGGTAATATGAGTTTCATCAAGGCATGGTTCCCTGTCGCCTTCCTCAAGCCATCCCGCCATCAAAAGGAAACCGATGCTCCAGATTGCCCCCGAGCGCGTCCTTCTTTCTCACCCTTTGCACTAATTAATCTGAAAGGAGGGGGGTGCCCCCTGTCCGGTCGAGTCTTCTCCCCCCTGCTCTTCCCTCCCGGTGTGATATTTTTTTGCCTCGCACACAGGGTGTGTTGAGGCTTTTGAAGTTAAACATTTATTTTACCTCATAGTTTGATACCGTACCACTTGTAATTATGATTCTGTACGTGACTCAAGGTATGCTGTAGTAGTGTTTCCATCGTGGTGTTTGATTTTTATTTTTAAGAGGAGATGCCCTCTGCCTGCATATGCAAATTCTTATCACGTGCTGCTGGAAGACAGAGGTGGCCGGGAGGCTCTCTTTCTCTCTGGGATACATTTATCTTGGTCACGTGATCGACCCACCTCGCCTCATCTCTTCTGGCTGGCCCCCCGGTTTAATACTGCATAATTATTATTTGGTTTATGTTTCCCCAGATTTGTGATTTAACATTATCATCACCACGTATTTCTTAGGGTTTATGCATTTTCGTTCCACCGCCTGTATCCTGGGTTTGTGCTGTTTGTTCTCGAGTTATTGTTACAGTATTATCTGATATTCCGAGGTTAGAGAATTCGTTTTGGCTTAGGAATAACCCTGACTGCCAGAATTCTTCTTGATGCTTCGGTCGGGTCGTGTAGAAAATTATTAAAGGTGAAAATAACATTAGTATTGAATTAATAAATGAGGAGTAATGGTCCACTGATGTAGATTGTAGCCTGGTTTTTAATTGGAGTGAGTGTGAGGATCGATAATGTCAGCTTCATCTTTGGTCGCTAAGTTTTGGAATTTTTACCGTTTGTTAGAAGAAACATGAACGTTAACCAAACGAAACGCCTGTTTGTTATTCTTCGTTGTGGGGGGGGGGGGAGGCGTGTGTGTGTTTTTTTCTTTATGACTGACCCCTTTCCGTTGGTGGGAGGGGAGGGTGTCATTATCTTTGCGAGAGTGACAAGGCAGCTGCTCGAGAAGGGGGGGGGGGGGTCCGTTTGTTTGTGCTCCCAGCGACCCCGCGAGTGATTATATGAAAAAAAAAATGTCAAAATCATTTTTAATAGAAAAAATAGAAAAAAGGCCTATATATACAACAGCCCCCCTTAAGTTCCCCCGAGGGAAGCTCCCAGCCCGCGTAAGCGAAACGTCGGACGTCGTGCCCGAATCACAACGCAAAAAAAACTCCACGCACTGGGGAGAGGCTCTTCAGCGCCGCCCACGAGTGCCTACTCGGTCGAGGAATGTCACGTCCTCACCAAGATGCGTGCGAACGCATTTGATGTTGGGGATTTTTTGGCCTCCGATCACGGCTGGGAACGTTTTGAGGAGCAGACGAAGGCGGTTTGTCGCTGTTCGCGGGCAGGCACCTCGGAGCAAAAACAACAGCGACCGGCGAGCTCGAGAAAGAGAGAGAGAGAGTGGAGAAAAATAAACTCCTTGAAACATTCATTTTTAAAAGACAACTGTTTTATTTTAAAGTGTGACATTCGACAGCCGAGCACGGGAAGGCCCCGCAATGGATGAACGACACCGCGGGGGGAGGGGGGGGAGCGGGGGGGAGTTATTGGGGGAACGTTTCGTGTTCATGTGCACGTGCGTGCGTTTGTGTATGAAACGCATCGGTTCATTCGGCATTTTGAAAGCGATGTCGCCACGCTGAAGATCCCCCCCCCCCCACTTTTTAATCGGGGTAATGATACGTGTAATGTGATGAAAGCTTGTAAATCACGTGATGTCGAGCGTTTCAACTCAAAAGTGACAACGACACGCACAAAAAAACACACATACATGCACGCGAAAATTAAACACAATCGAACATGTGTTTAGGGATCAGCGCCCCTTGAGTAGAAGGAATGTTAGATGTGAGCTGTTTTTTTTGTATCTCTCATTCCGTGTGTCTTGCCTTGAATTGGCATGTTCTTTTAAGATGCTGAAAACTAAAAGGGGGGTGGGGGGGAGTCTTAAAGAGATGCACAGAGGGAGGGAGACCAGTAAAATCATGTGGTTGTCAGATTTTGGTTTTTTTTATTCCCTCTTTTCTTGGAACTGCACGTACTCGCATATTTCAGTGTGTCTGTGCGTGTGTGAACTTACGTAGAGTGCTTGTGGTAAACGGAATTGTACTTGCGTATAAAAAAAACTATTTCAGGGAAATATTTCCTGTAGAAGGGTAACCATTATCGATGTTTGCTATCGATGTTTTGATACAATATGTGTTGCGTTAACGTTGTGCCTGTTTGCATCTTTCAAGAGCACGCATTACTGCCGCTTACATTGTGGTGAGCTCGTGTGCACACGCTTGATATATTCAATGAAAACAAGCATCTTACACACCCTAATGTGATGGCGCAGAATGTCCCTTTAACAGTGATTACAGCTTAGATATGTTTAAATTACGCTTCAAAAACAACATTAAAACTTTTAGGTGCATAAAAAAACTAGTTTTCATTCGGGTATAAATAACCGATTGACATTCATTTAACTTCCATCATCCGCAACAATTGTAGGTTGTTCCGAAATGTATGCTGTTATCGATTTGAAGACTCACATTGCATAACTGGGCGGGAACATTTGACGGCAGAAAATCCGACAAACAACATTTTTTTTCCAGTTCTCCCCCAGCTCCTCTCGGCTATAAATAGCGCCTCGCTGCTGAATCGCCTTTCACCTGCAAGTTGCTGGCAGTTTAAGTTAAATAATGAATAAACTTTTAAAAATAAAGCCGGCTGCTTAAGCTGGAACCCGCGAACGTGCAGTCATTCTTGACCCTGTTAACACGGGCAGCACGAAGAGCAAACCCCAATCCACGCAACGATCACGCTTCGTTCATCCAACCCTCCAGCGCCGAGAAGCAACAAATACCTTCCGGTTTATGGAACATATTTTTGAGTTAACTCACCGCTGGGAGCACTGAATTCAAACCGATCCCATAAAAGTGGCAGGGACTTCTGATTTTTCTTTCTTTCTTTTTTTCCTGCCGGAGCTATTTTACGCGCGAAGAGGTAGCGTTTGTAAGTTTAAACCGTTATTGTTTTCATCCTGCACCCTCAGTTGGCAATAATCATTTGAAGGGGAGGGAGGGGGGGACGGTGGCGGAGGAGGGGGGGGTCCGAATGAAATTGTTAAACACTCTCTCGGTCTTTTTTTTAACGCAAATCCGCACAAAAGGCGCTTGGCATGCGCGCGTCTAGACATCTAATTGCCATTGGCTCGGCGTTGCCAAAACAGCTTCAAGTCCGCAAGAGCGGTGGCGTTGTTAGCCGGGTCAAAACAATCAGCCTGTTCTTCTGCGTTGGTGGCTGGTTGCTTTTTGTGTGTGTGTGTGTGTTTCAACAGGGAGGCAACCGGCGAGTCGCCCGCAAGTGCCCCTCGAGGAGAAAAAAAAAAGTAGAAAGCCACGGTAGGGAAGAGTCGCGCGCAACACAGCCAGAGAAGAGAAGCGAGAGAGAGCGAGCGGTCGACCGTTGCGAACCGAGCAGAGAGAGAGAGAACAGACGTGGGGGTGCCGTGGGTGGGTGAGGAGGGGTGGCGATAGTGAACTCGCATGGGGCTCGTGAAGCCATCAAACGCGGCCGGCGCTGGTCGGGCCCCGCCGGCGGCGCGCTGCCTGCCCCGGCTGCTGCTGCTGCTGCTGCCGCTCTGGGCTGCCTGCGCCGTGCTCGTCACCGCCTCGCCGCCGCCGCCTCCTCCTCCTCCTCCGCCGCCCTTCTCGCGCTTCCAGGGACACCGGCGCCCGTGCTACACGTGCCTCAAGGGCTACGCGCAGCACCGCGACCGCAACGGAGAGCTCGTCGGTGAGGAACGCGCTCGTGCACGTGCGCGTGCGCGTGGACGTGCGGAGACAGAAATGACAGCGACGGGGCGGGCGCGGACGCGTGCGTCTTGGTGATCTTTTTGGGAAAAAGGGAAAACGCACGATCGCGTGTGCGCGCGGAACCTTCGACGCTTTTTTTTGTTTGCGTCGTCGTTCGCTCGGGCGAAATGCTTCGGCATCCGCTCGTCTCCTCCTGCTCCTCCTCCTCGTCTTTCTTCGATGCTTTCCAGGTCAAAAAAAAAATTTGGCACGCTCTATCGTCGGCCTTGGTTTGTGAGACGGCTTAACGGTGGCTCCTCGTGGGATGCAAAGGGATCGAACTGGCGTCCCTCTGGATCGCAATTCCGCAGCGGCGGTGTTTGTTGGCCAGCACGCTACGGAGTTACGATCCAGAGGGTCGCCGGTTCGATTCGCTCTCTCGGCGCGGCATTTGAACCAATGGTGCGATAGTTTCGTAAAACCCTCCAACCCTCTCCCTCTCCGATCAGCACGCGGGTTGCCTGTGTGCGGTGGCGTAGAACGTGGGTACTCCCACCTCTTCCAGGACGTTTGGCCGGCGTGGAAGAGTAGGCCAAAATAGCTTCTATTGGAGCCTTCCTTGCGCCTGCAGTGGCGTGAGCGTGGAATTTCAGGGCTGCACTTTTACCACCTCGCATCTCCATTTGCTGGAGTTTGAGCAATCACGTGGTGTTATATGCTCGAGGGAAATATTAGTTAATGTTCCTTTGATGCCGCCGGTAAAATTGGGCTAAATTATTGTCGGCTGCTTTCTCAGACGGCCTAAAATTGCTGCATAAAAAACAATAATAATGTATGAGTCATGAATGGATTTTTATTTCACTCATTAAAAACGCGGCTTGAAAATTTCTCGTGATTAAACACATTATTTGATGCTGCTACATTGCAGTAGTGCACAAGCACAATTAGTAAAAACTTAACACATTCGTCAATAACAACGTGTACAATAGGTGACGTTTCAGGCAATGGCCCTTCTTAATAGCACGCCGTACCTCCCTGGCCTCTCTATGTAAAGTATTGCAAATTCCCTTTTCGTATTGCGATGCCCTCTTTACTAGGGGTGAGTTTTAAAAAAAAAACACATTGAATGAATTGAATGAAAGAAGAGCAGCTATTGCCAGACACATCGCATATTACATTGGTATTTAATGGCAAAGTGTCTATTGAGAATAGGTTTTTCCCTTTTTTCTGGCAACAAAACAGGTGTTAAGATGTTAAAACACCAAACTGAAACATTTTACAAGGAATCATGTCTGCATTAACCACAATACTTGTGATCAGAATGCAAACACAAACGTACTCTGATAATATATGTGGCATTGTCTTTGAAACTGATTGGTCCACACCGGAGACAGCTTTCTTTTGAGCCTAGTCTCAAACGGTGTAAGACCAGAGGACGCCAAAAGGCGTAACAGCACAAAGACTATCAGAGTAATGAGGGCTCGGGGTGACCAACTACATCATGGGACCTCCTTTGCCAGTGTCTATTTTTTAAAGAAGATTTGAGAACGCAAACATGAATTTTGATTTAAAGCTTTCGTGACTGCAGGGATTCATATTATTGGTTATTTCGGTAAAGTCACGTAGAAGGGAAACAATAAAAATAATAAAAATAGAAAACAATAAAATTTTCTTGCTGTGGTTTTCACACCTGATGATGATTGCATGTGTTGCAGTCGAAACGTCGTGAGAATTTTATTGTTTAGTTTTTTTAAATTATTTCCCTTCTACGTGACTTTACCGAAAGAACCAAGAATATGAAAACGCAAACATGCTTGAAATATATGCACGACACTTTGCACATGCATCATCTCACCTTTCACTAATTATTTTTTTGCTCAGTTTCATCCGATGGCTCGTCACTTGATCTTCCGACACACACACACACACAACCTGATGGTAATGCAGGCAACTGGACCACTTCACGAGCCTTCATTATTAAACTCACGAGCCTGGCATTGCACGTTCTTGCGCTGGTGTTGTCTTCAGCTATTGCCAGTGGCATTACAGCAGAGCACCTGCAAGTGGCTAACTAGCTTGTGGTGCAGCTTTTTAAAAAAAAAATCATCATTGTTTGAAATGTGATGTAAAAAAAGACACCGGGCAAATTATTTTTTTCCATGAAGTCTACGTAATGTTTTCTGCCACCAACCACAGTTATCGGAGCTAAATTCCCAGCCAATGGTGTGGTCGACGCAGGCCAGCAATGTGAATTATGGTCAAACAACGCCCTTGACCGATTGACCGATATGGCATGAGGAAGCCGTAATTCAGCAGTGGATTAACAACAAGCTGTACGTTTATGTTATTTTTATTATGACTATTGTAATACAGTATTACATTTGCAAACGTGAAACTCTGCTCATAACACTGCGACATTCGATATGTATTTACACACTCAATGTAGCCACGGAAACTCTTTTCCAAACACATGCTTGGCTTGATGTATGTGTATGACTGTGTGGGGAGCAGTAGCGTAGCGGTTAGCGCGCTGCGCAACGAACCCGGCGACCGGAGTCCTAGTCCCGCTCACGGTCAACACCAGTGGCGATTATCCGAACTGGTCCTGGGCCTTCCCTAGGTCGACTCAGCCTCAATTGAATACCTGGTGCATTGTGTAAACATCGCCACTAGGGAGACAAATGCGGGCGGTTGTGTGGTGCTGGCCACCCCACACCCTCGTGTGCCGTGCCGGCTTTCATAGGTGCTCCATAAATGCACTTGCCCAAAAAGTACGTTAAGGCTGTACAGGGGATCTTTGTCTTATGGCTTCTGTACTTTTCTTGAGTGTGTGTGTGTGTTTTAGTGGGAGCCCAGACAGGTTAATAGCCCTGACTCATCCTCTTGTCACGTATGTTTTTTTTTTAACTAAGGATAACATTTCACTCCCCTGTGTGGCCCATGTGGCAGTTACTCCAAATGTATTCCGTCTCGACCTTCGTGTGTGAATGCACGTAAGATGCACTGTGGAGTTATGGGGGGAGGGGGGGGCAGAGCCATCAATTATCAAATCATTAGCGTGTCACATTTTGAATTGATAGGTCGGAGTTTTTTTTTGCCATACAAGTGCCAGCATGTGAGTGTTTCGCAGTTGCAAGACACTTGTGAGTGTGGATTGTTTTATCGCATGAATCATTATGTTAGGTTTTTTTTATCATAAGGCGTATTCACCTGAACTTATGACACGCAACCTGACGGCTATGTTGGCTTTTGCAGGATGTTACGAGCTGCAATATTTCCAGGCATCGCTATGGCAAGCTCACGTGCCCTGAGCAATTGTTTGCGAATCTAAACAAGCTCTGATAAAAAAAAAAACACATATATTAGCACGTATTTTCTTTTTTTGCAAATCGTCGATTCACGAGACTCTCCCCAATGGATGCTCGCACATGGCAATGCTCGTAAAATTCCTTCTCAAGATTGTTTTGCACGTGCGGAATGAAAACCGAAGTAGGATCCAAATCCACGCATCCGCTCGATATGTTATCCACCGGGACCAATTAACCCACCCACACCCAAGTGCAGCATTTGTGCCCTGTGTAAACTGTCATCTCCGAAAGGCGTTCACGACATCTGACCTGTTCGCGCATCCGCCTGCACTTCGCGATACCGCCCAGCGAGTTGGATACGGGACGCTGAGGAAGGGTTTAAATCCTCAAAGGTCCCGCGCAGAAACCCGCTTGCTTTATTGCCATCTCCTGGCCACTTTGCGGGCCAGTGAGTGTGGTTTGTTTCGACATCATCTCCCATGCCAGTCGCCTCTTAACTCTCAAGCGCCGGGTTACAGGCACGCCACCCCCGACGCTATGTTTGCCAGTCGCAGTTTTTCCCTCGTTCTTCGCGAGGGCTACGCTTCAGGGATGCTCGTGAATTGCAAATTTCGCGGGTTTTAATACTGGCCTACGTAAACCTCTCTTTTTTACGAATGGCTTTTAATAAATACGTCAATAAGCTTTCCCTCTCATCACTCTCTCTCTCTCGATGCAGTCGTGTAGATTTCCAGATGCGATTCGCGGATAGCCCAAAATCGCGAATAGCAAGTTCGTGGAATAAGGAGGGAATACTGTACACGTGAACTTAGATGAAGGCTGGTAAATGGAAATAAACACATCGTCATAACCATCTCTTGTTTACCCTGTGCCTCCCATGCAGTGTCTCTTAGGGCACCAGAACCAATAGTCCACGAGCCCAGACCAGAGAAGTTCCACTTGTCGGTGCCACCTCGGGTGTCACGACTTACGTGGGGTTCCGATCTCTTTATGTGGTCAGTGGCAGTGAATTATGCGATAACCACTAGAAATGATTGGGTCTATCAAGTAATTGCTTGTTATTAGCCACGTAAATATATCTGGATAATTGCGATTTTGCGACTTTAGGTGGTACTAAAAAGGGGCATTTGAAATAATAACTCAGGAAGGAAGTGGGTGCAGAACAAATACTATGTCTACTAACAAAGCGGCATATACAATGTACACAACAAAAGAGAATAAACAGCTTTGGAAAGCTAAACTACCCAATTACAATTGTGACCACTGCCACTACGATGTGTTTACATTAACACCATTTAGTTTCAAGGCTCTGATGGATTTTTTTTTTAAATACCTCTTTCCCACACATGTCTCTGTACATTAAAAAAAAACAAATATGAGCAGTATTTTTTCATGAAACCCATCGGCCACGCGACTTTCACGTTATCATCAGCACTGAATCAACACAAGCAAAACTCCGGTCTCATTTCGACACCCCGGGTATCCCCCCCAATCAGCAGAGTCAGTCCTGCCCGAACCAACAACTGGGCCTATACTTTGCTAAGCTATTCGCTGAGCAATGTCTAAGCAGTGGAGCTCGCTAAGAAAGTGTATGACACAACTGGTCTTTGTCTAAACAACACGAACAGCTGGTTGGGATTAAAGCACACCTGGCATGACGAAGCAGCAGTCGCTGCTGGGAGCATGCAGCGTA